AAATTTCAAGTGAATTAAGGCAGTTTTAAAAAATCATCCGCCATTTTGGAGCCGCCATCTTGGATTTTTAAATATTCCATTTTGCATTTTAAAGTAGACATAAATAGCTAAAATTTAAAACCTCATAGAACAATTTCTGTCAAAAGGAATTTCTTTGGTATACGAAATTAGAATGAATTTAATGAATTCTGAGCACATTTTCGGCCATATTAAACCGGCCATCTTGAATTTCCTTTTTGGCCACTTTGCATTAAAAAGTAGACTAAAAGAGCTAAATTTTGGTCCCTATTAGAACTCTCCAGGTTAAAACCAATTTTGGGGGGACAGGGGTCTCCCGTTCAGAAAGAATGCCTTATATAGGCATATAAAAGCAACAAACATTACCTTCATCACTTGAGCTTTGAAAATTCTCCATAAATTTCACAGCAGCACGATGTTTTTTAACTCGCCTACGTATCTTTTTTTTTTCTTTTCGCTTTTTTCTATGTTTTCATCCTTACTATTCATTTTCTTTTTAATAAAATTCTACAAATGTTCGAGTGTCATCAACACTTATCAGCTGGCACTTACAAACCGAATAACTAATCTGCGACTGCGCATATTTTTCACATTCACGATTCTTCATGTTTGTTAAGGAGCGTTTATATCTCGGCTGCCTGCTGTTACACTGTGTTCACATTAAAATGAGGTTTAATTATTATTAATAAAATTTATTCCTAATTTACTTAAAATATGCATTAATAATTACGATTAAAAATGTATTCAAATCAAAATTTGATTTATATGCATATATAAATTTTAGTTGAATAAATTAGTTAGAAAATTAAAGTTAATAAATATTGAACTTTTAACCAATTTTTGTACCTATAATTTATTTATTTTATTTAAAACAATAAAGGTTCTGCAGGTTTAAAATATTTAAAAATATTTTTATATTAAATTCGTTTCTGACTTGTAACAGCAGATTCAAATAAACTTCAATTTGGGAACACTTTGGTTCAGCCCAGTTTGGCTCAGACTGTGTTGACCCAAAGTTTACACAAGCTCACTAAAAAAAAAGATTTTAAACCTTTTTACAGTTGCAGTCTTCTTGTTTATTTGTCCAGAATGTTATTTATATAATTATATAATTAAATAAATTACTTTTTCAATCATTTTTTAAACTTTGGGAAGCCTCGGTCTGGCCCAGATTGGAGCCCAATCTCACTTCGGGCGACTTTGGGGAGATTTCCACACGGGCACTATGATTCTGAACCCGTTACGCACTTTTTAAAACAAACACTTAATTTTAATGATTTAATCAATAACTCACAACCAACACCATTAAATGTTGGAATCACCAAAGAAAAGATAGCAGATGTTAAAAGTTTGTATCGATATTTGATGCCAAAAGACAAAACATTTTTCTAAAATTTATTTAAAAAGACGATAGTTAAAAAAGGCAAATAATACAAAAAAAAGTTTTAAAAACTTCAAAACGTGCGAAAAAAGTACGTGTTACCAAAAAGTAAAATGTTTGTTTTTTATTTCAAACATCCAATTAAAAAAATGTATGATAAAAATAATATATAATTGTTACTTTATACATATAAAATATTTTTATTGGTTGTATTAACAATTATGTTACTAATTACAAATGTTATTACAATGTTAAAATATAATGTTATACTTGTCGTCAAAAAGAAAACCGTTAAAAAGTTAATTTTAAACATCAAATTAAAAAATACAATAAAAGTGATAAACTATAACTTTTCATTGTGACATAAAATATGTTACTAAATAAAAATGTAACTACAACGTTAAAATATTGTTAAATATTAAAAAATTAAAAATTAATATTGTTTAAAAATATGTTATCTGCAAAAAAAATAAACGTATACTTTATAAACAATATTTCTGAAACAATATTATTTTACTTATTAACTAACTTGTACAGTATATTTATTTTAATTTTTTATTAATTGTTTATAATTTTAAACAATTTAATTAATAATATTATGAAAATAACTAATAATATTATTGAAAAGTAATGGGAAGATGATGTTTTCACGCCCTGCGAGTAATAAGACTACTCTACGTGCCGATGTGATATGCGGCTGCACGAGTTTCTTTAAAACTTGAATATTTTTTAAACTATTTAATAAATCGTTTTGTAAATTTACAAAAAACTTTATTACACATTGATAAACAAATGTCTCACTGGAAGTTCTTGAAACTCGGAACTTTCCCGCAGACTTTTTGTCGACAAAGGTAAGAAAACATGATTATCAATATGTCCTTAAATAACAATTAAAAATTATTAAACAAATGATGATTTCGAACATTCTTATTATGTTATCCTTTTCTCTATACTTCAATGTGTTAGGATATCAATTCTAAAGTAATTTTATTAATAATTGTTGAAGATATGACAATTTATGTTTTAAAATTAAATGAAATTTAAGAATTAAAATTTGTCAGTTTTTTGTTATTATTAACTAAAATATTCGCTCTACAAAAAAATTTCAAACGAAAAAAAGACGCGCTTTAATATTTTATACAAGGTAGTACTTTTAAAAAAAAAAATTTTGAAATTTTTTTTTCCTATTTTTATGCCTACAACTGGTATGAAATTTTCCCTTCCGAGCGAAGAGCGAGTTCTTCTTCCGAGCAACTCAATTGTAGTCTCAGACGTTTAAAATTTGTTTCGATTAACCATGAATTGATTGAAGATTTCAGAGAAATGAAAATTAAGTGGATGAAAATTTACATTAAATGAAATGTGTATCGTCAATGTTTGTATACAATTAAAATTTAGATAAATTGAAAGTTAAGTAGATCAAAATTTGGATCCGTTAAGTTTTCTATAAATTAAAAATTAATTTGATCAACTATGAGTAAATTGAAATTTCGATCGTTTAGAATTTAATGAATTAAATATTACGTCCATCGACCTAAGTAGCACGAAATATTGAAATGACAACATCAACATTTAAATACAAAATTTCAAGTTTTGATTTTTTAAAACAATACAATGATTAAATTTGAAATAGACACTACATTTCATTCCTACAAAATTTAAATGATTAAAATTTCAATTGACTCTACTTTTAATGAAACTCAAATTTAGATTTTATATATTTTTATTTATATATTTTTGAAGTAAGAGTGACATTGAGAGTAAAAAGTTTTTAACTGAATGTGAAAGTGAAATTGAAAAATTTTTATGTGTGAGTGAGATTGAAAAATTTGAGTGACATTGAAAAACTCTGAGTGAGAGCGAGAGTGATATTGAAAATTTTTTGAGCGATAGTAAGGATGAGATTAAAAAATTTTGAGTGTGGGTGAGAGTGAGAATGAACAATTTTTGAGTGAGAGTGAGAATGACAAATTTGTTCAGTGTCAGTAAAAAATTTTTTAGTGAGGGTGAGAGTGAAAATGAAAAAATTTTCAGTGTGAGTAAGAAATTTTTTAGTGTGGGTAAGAGTGAGAAAGAGAGTTACGTGAACGCACCCCTAAAACTTCAGGAAAAACTTCTTCATACCATAAGAAACAACTTTGTCGCTTGAAGTTTTTGTTTGAAATAATAAAAGCCCAAAATCCAACATTTTGTATTTTGTATTAAAAAATAATATAAATGAGTAAAGTATTTTTAATTTTGTTGAATCCGATGGTTTCGGCAACTCAAAATTTATTTAAGCACAAAGTAACAAAAAATTTAATTTACAAAAAAGGGAGATATGGTCATATATGTTTCAAAAGTTATTGATTTCATGTTATCACGATTTTTCACTTTTTTTTGCAAAACCTGCTAAAAATTAAAGAAAATATTATTAAGAAAACTTGTGAGTTATGTAATTCTCTACACGTTAATATATATATATTTTTTTCCTTTTGTGACATTTTATTTTTCATATAATTTTTCCGTTATCTCGTTCTGGTGGGGGTCCAAGCGCATTGTCCGTTTTGCATGTGGATTTTTTTGGATTTTTATCAGAAAATAATCACTTTTAGTAAAAAATGTACATGTTTAGAAATAAAATGTGTTATAATCGCAAAAAATCATGCTTTTATGGTGTTTTTTATGGTTTTCAGCATGATAATTAAATTTGCGCCAATTTTCACTATCAGTTTCGCAATCCGCTTACCAAAATACGTTACTATACCAAGTTTTATTAACATCGGCGGGAGGACGCTTTCGGAACTATATCCTCAATTCCAATAAAATTTTTAAATTATTGTGGAATTTAAAAATAAAAAAATTGTTTATTTTTTACATTAAGAGCGACTTCAACTGAAGTATTTATTTAAAAAAGGGAACTTGATGTTTTAAAAGTTTTAAATTTAGTAATAAATTAGATGAGAAATAACATTTTTTAACCGAAGAGATTATAAAGCGAAAACAATGTGACAAAAAATATATTAATGACTATTAATAACAAATTCATAATCAGCGACCTCGAAAACCCGTGACTAACGAGTTTCTAGCAAATTTGATCAATTTAAAAAAAACTTGTCTGTCATATTGGATCCGCCATTTTGAATTTGAAAATCCAAACGTCAAATTCGGAAACAATGACCTCAAAAACGTTAAACCTTGCAATGACAATAAAATTGAATCAAAAATACTTTTTGTACCATTTTTTTCTGCAGTCTGCCCCACTTTGGGCCCCGTTTAGAACCCAATAAACTTTTCCGCACGGAAGTTAGAACTCAGTGTAGTGTTTGCAAACATTATTTTATCGGAGTTGAAAGAGCAATTTAGCTATGGTGTGTTATATTCGTAAAAGTAAAACCACTTCATGAAAAATTCATGATAATAGGAATATAACTTAAGCAAAATTATATTATATATTTTTAAAAAATTCTGTTATTCTAATATTTGTTTTATTATTGAAAAATTCGAAGTGTACGTATGATGAAAACATATGTAGGGTAGTGGTTGATATAATCGGCTCCCTACATATAAGCGCATGGTTGGACCGATTCCAATTTTTAAGCGCCGCCTTGCCATCACCTACAGCGCAGAGTCACGAAAAATCAGCAGTAGAACCAGTAGTAGCCTGACGGAGTAGCATACTCGTTTAGTTATATTGTAAGTCAATTTCGACCCCCAGAAAACCGCATTAATATTATTCCATCATAGACATTGACAGTATAGAGTAAAACTGTTTCCTGAAGGTCGTCGGACTCAACCTAATTGCCTCGGAACCTCGTTCGTGGTGTTGCAACTACTTTCGTATTTTGTTGTTCTTTGCTTGGGGGAATCGATAGATGAGGGAAACGTCGCTAGTAGCGCCCGTGGAACAAGTGGTGGACTGTGTTTCGTGCTTCGGTTCAACGTTATTTCTTCTTTCTGTCATTCTTGGCACAAAATTTTTATTATGTGCGGAGTGTGTGACGTACTTAATTTTATAACTATTAAATGCTGCCTTCATTAAAGAGGTAAGACACAGCAAAAGATGATAGCGATGCAGTGAAAGAAAAGGAAACTACCCCTAGATATACTGCTATTCATTGCCATAAAAGTATCAATGACATTTTGTGAATGAAAAGCTCCTATTAATTAAATGTTTATAACTTAACAAAAATACAGTAGTTCTAAAATATATTAATTAATTTAATTAATTTTCATTGTAAAGAATAATAACTTACAATAAAATTTTTTTATTTCCGATAATATTTTACTCTTTTTTTATAAATTAAACTGTACTATTCATTTAAAAAATTTTATTTCATGTAAGATTTTACAAATTATATTTTACATTAAGAAACATAATAAATAAAATTTAATATTTTTATTATTTCAAATTTATTATAGCAGTGCTACATATTATTTTATTATAAATATGTCACAGGTAGAAGGAACCTTTTTTTACTTTTCACTTTACTAATACTTTGTATAAAATTAATAACAATATTCAAGAAAACAACAAATCTTTTTTAGTTAAGAATATTATTTCACAATTACGTATCTCTTTCTAAATGAAACATATAATACTAATTTGAAACTTATACCTTGTATCTTTTTGGTATTTTCATAGAAAACTGATTCATTTTTCGTAAAATTTACAGATTTTGAGACACGTTCTGTTTTATAATAAAGCTATTGTTCTGTTAATACAATAAAATTAAATAGAAACGAGTTGTACGCAGATTTGTAAATCGGGAATTCCTTGGCAGTTTGACAAATTCTCACTGTAGAACTATACAAATACACAAATCAACTTTTTTAAAAAAATAATTTGTTTTTAATCGAAAGCAAAGAAGTGAAAAGTTATTATTATTGTTTACTAAATAGTATTTGTCATTATAAATATTTTTAGTTCTTTAATTTTAAACATGCATAGTAAAAAAATAATAGAAAAAATTATTGTAAGTATCTAAATAGCAAAACATACAGCAGTATTATTACTTCAATACTAAGTGCAAGGTTCGGAATATTACGGCTTAAACTATAGTCAATATTACATTTCAATGTTGGGATAGTATTGAACGACAACATTAAGGCAACATTACATTAAATAGTATTTATTTCTTTATAGATATCACGAAATTCTACTAATACAATATTTCATCAATATTAAGCCAACATTATTATTACAATGAAAGAAATTTATTTGAAAAATGAACCAAATCTCTTATTACATTAAAATATATTTTTTTTTAGAATTTGAGGAAAATTATACTTATTTAACATACGATAAACTTCTTTCAGTTTATGAGGCGTAGCTTTATAATATTTAAAAAGTTATATACGAAAAATTCTGAATGTCGGCAAAAGGAGAATAGAAAAACTTATACTAATAAAAAACTTGTGAGAAAACGATTTGCTTGTAATATCTAAATAAAAAAATAATTTATTATGGAGATTCTATCGATAATCGAATAAACAGACTTCTTTTGATAAAACTTTGTGTAGCACTAGATAAAGCTTTTAAAATTCTGTAGTTAAATTTTTGAGACCTATAGGTTCGTGAGAAAAAAGTTATGAGTGATTTATTTTCTCACCGTTTAACATTGATTCTTATAGAAATTCATTAATTCATTACATATATTATCGTACTACAAAGTATTAAACAAACATATATTGATGAAAGTTTTTGTAGTTAAAGACAGATGTAGGGGAAGGTGGGAGAATTGGAGCCCCTTCAGGACAATGATTAAAAAAACCAACTTATTGTTATAATAAAATATTGTTTTGGTCATTTTTTACTTTTTTTGTTATTTATCTTTAATTATAATTAATTAGAAATTATGAACAAAAAAGTAAGTTTGCAAAAAATAGTTGTCGACAGATGAACATTTTACAAAATATTTGACATAAAAAAGACCTACAGCTTCTTTAGTATTAAAATATCCAATAATAAAACATTTTAGACAACAAAACACAAATATTGATTCTTAGCAATTAAATATGCAACAATATCAAATTTTATAAATCAATCTTGTTCAATTTTCAATGAAATAAGAAAAGCCATATCGAGGTAACGAAACTCTGCTGGCTGACACAATTCTCTTATTACCCCAAGGAGGGTTCTGATACCGGATCAGTATCGGACTGATGTCGGATTTCGACATGCCAATGTCGTATCGATACTGATATTCGGTACTGTTTCGGTATCATAATAGATGTTGGAATGTAAGATCGGACCGCTACTGTTTTCTGTAACCCTTCCAATATTGAAATCCGACATTGGTCTGATATCGGATGCTGATATCGTATCGATATTGATATTCGGTACTGTTTCGGTATCGAAAGGATGTTGGAATGTAAGATCGGACCGCTACTGTTTTCCTACACCGTTACAATATTGGAATCCGACATTTGTCCGATACTAAAATTCAATCTCGATCCAATATTGGATTCCATCATTAAATTTAAAAAATCAAAAAATAAAATAAATTTATTGGATTTATTAGGTTTAACTTAGTGTTACTTTTTATTTTCTGTAGATTCCACGTACATGATTTTTTCCCTGCCTTAAACGCAATTGAACGCACAACTCGCATATTTTGAAAAATCCTAACCGACGCCAAGATTCGAAGACCCTAACCTAACATTAAACGCCTATTACGAACCGAACAAACTAACTGCAGGGCCATCGAAGCCTTGATAGTTGGTGTGAGAAAGACATATACATATCTTCTTGAAAATTTTTAATAAATTTTATCAGAGTTGTATTTCTGTCATCCAAACAAATCTATTAATGTATGTATGTATGTAAAACTGACTATCAAACTCAAATTTTAGTGTTCTTTTGTATTGAATAGTTATTTTCATAGTAAATATACAACTCTGGAATGACATCTAAATCTGCACATATTTTTCTCTAATAAAATCACAAAACATAATTAAATAATAAATTTTTAACTATTTAATTTGATCTGCAGAAATATTTTCCATTTAAGAAGAAAAACTCGAAAACTTGATTTTTCCTTGTAGTTTCTACAAATCTTTCAGAAATGTGACCGTTTGTCTTTGTATGACGTACAGGAAGATTGTTCAAGTTTTCCGAGTTATTTCCACGAAATTCAAAGTCTCTTTCTACTTGTAATTTAAAAGCTCCCATTACTCACTCTCTCCTATACCCCACCTTCCCCTATAATGAACCGATATTGTATTTAAAAAAGTCAATAGGTATCTGTGAGAGTTAGAATTAATTAATTAATTAATAACAATATTTTACACTTCCGTAAATTGTATTTTATATTAAACTTTCTTCTGGATGTATCTATTACTTACCTATATTTATTAACATATATACGGACAGTAACCGTTTGTACAATTGTACTAACAATAAGATTAAGATATAAAAGTAAAACTAAAGAAAGTAATGACAAATAATTGTTGTCGCGTTACTAATTAAAATCACGTTGCGCAAATTACTAATAAATGTATCTGTTGTAAAATACCATAAAAATTGACACTATTATGGTACTTATTTGTCTCTTTTTATAATCTTAGTTCTGTGAACTGATTATCTCAACAAAATAGGGTTTCTAACACAAGTGAAACTAAATATTAAATTTTATCTCTGTTAGAGGTAATTTCAATCATGCAGACATATTTTAAGCAAATAATATACTCACTTAATCTGAGTCAGTGAGAATCTTCACTGATTTTAATTAATATCCCACTTCTCACTTGTTCATACAATGGCAGTGAAATTTTACACTGATTCAAATTAAGAGTGCATTGATGTCGTATTTACTTAAATATGGTATTATTTTTTTTCATACAAAAATTCGGACAAGTGAGTACAAGTGTAACTCTCATTAAAATCTAGGGATTCGTTCACGAAACGGACTTATTCGGTATAAAAATACTCAGGTACAAAACATAAAAATTTGTATGTCAAATACTGTAAATGTTACAAAAAAGAACAATTTTGGAAAATTGTTCCTTCCTGTATCGTTTACACTATTTGATATAAGAAGGTTATTTTTTATACGCATACGTTTTTATACAGAGTAAGTTTTTTTTGTATAGACTTGAGTTCAATTTTTTTATTTTATTTTAATTTACTTGTGAAAATGCATGAAAATCGATTCTATGATCAAATAAGCTGTATTTTTCCCGTAATCCACACGTGAAAATACATAAATGTACACAGTAACAATTTAATTATGATTAAATTAATAGGGTTCGTAATTATTTTACGAAAACCTAAACACGAAAGTAGTCTTTCATATAGGAGTTGAAATTCCCCTCACATTTTCTATAATTAAAACCCCAAATTTTGGAATAATGACCTGGTTAATTTGAATCTAATTTTCCTATTCATGAAAGAAGGAAGCAGTTTTTATTCCATGACGTGATTTCTTAAGGGTAAACATTTCCTATGTCAAAAGGGAGTTTTATTTAAGATGTAAACTTATGTTATTGCTTTAAAAAATTAACTAATTGATAACCACCTACACAGCACCAAACTTTACTGAACATTTATTAAAATAGTTGAAGTGTAAACTCCAAAATATTGAGTTGCAAATCCATTAAAACTTGTTAAAGTTATCGTGTTCACAAAAAAGGAATTCACACACACACACACACTCGCATACATCCGGATCAGGATCACATATAACATATTTCTATATAGAAGACAATTTTTTTTGAAAATTTTTTAAAAATTTTATAAACGAAAGGACTACAAAGCTTCCTCCACGAGGAAGCAAAATTAATTAAGTAATTAAAAAATAAAGCAAAATAATATTTTTTATAATTCTTATACAGTAAAAAAATATTTTATTTGTTTCAAATAATTATTAACTTGAATATAATAAATTATTAATTTTTTTCGATAAAAATTATAATTGTTTAACTAAAAAGAACTGCAAAAAATTGTAAATTTTAAAAACGAATAAATAATCATTTTTAATAGCAAAGATTTATTTTTGTTTTAAATATTGAATTGATTAACTAATTAATTTAATTAGTTAATTAA